CCCATTTCCTGATGTCTTTGCTAGTACGGGATGCTATCAGCCCTCTTCCTTTTTTTTTTTTCCAAATCTAGGGAGAAATAGTAACCTTTCTCATCTCATTGTTTTTATTTGGTTACCTTTTTTTATTATGCTTTTCCTTTTTATCTGTAGAATTATATCTTATTAATTTGTAGGTATAGGCAGTACTAACAGATTCTTTAGTTTGTTTTACAGCCTGAAGAGTTTTTCATGTCACAGAATTTAAGATTTTTTTAATATAATAAGTATAAAAGTATTAAAAAATTAGTATAAAAAGTTTTTTCTTTTATGTAAGTTTTTGAGTTGTATGTTTTGCTTTGGAAAACATTTTTCATGTGAGATTATAATATTGCCTGTATTTTCTTCCACTATTCTTACGTGTTTTTTAAAAACTTAGATTCTAAAGCCATTTCACACACACACACACACACACACATTCCAAATGGAAAGCCAACCATCTCAACAAACTCATCTTGTCTGATTTTACTTAAAATAATGCTGGAATTATATTGAGTACATAGGATACTTGGGGATTTATTCGTATTCAGAGACAGTTGGATGTGCTCACTGAATTGGTTGTGTTGGTTATGACTGTGTCTTTATGAGTAGTGATACATTGTGAAACCATGTTGGCATGGAATTTTTTACTTTATAGGAAAATCTATAGTTGTACAAATATTTATTTACTGCTCTAAGCTGGATGTTAAATGTAAAATGATGGGTGAAATGTGTTTTCAGTGTCATTGGACACTGTCAGCCTAGTAGGTAAGGCAGGTGTGTAATCATAATTTGTTAATAACTCAGATGATAAATATTTGTTTAGGATATCCTGGAACACTAAAGACTGGCACCCAACACAGCATATTGGATATGGCCTAGGCAGTCAGGTAAGAAAGGCTTCTTGGAGAAGATACCGTTGAGGTAAATGGGAGTTAGCTGGGTGGATGGGTGGCACTTTAGGGTGAGCAGGTAGGAGGTAGCAGGAAGTTAGAACAAGTCCTCATGAGCATTTGTGACTGAGTAGCCCATGTGCCTCTTCTGCACACATCTCCTCTAGTCTTCAGTGTAAGTGGGGCTGGCTGAAGCCTGACTGCAGAGGCCCTTGCTTGTATGCCAGGCTGAGAACTTGGTATTTGTACTCCAGGCAATTGGAAAATACTGAAAAATTTTATTGAGTGTAGAGATGGTGACAAGCAGATTTGTATGGAAGAAAGATTACCTGATGACACTTTGAAGGGTGGATTTGAATGGGTTGAGACCATGCAGGAAACCAGTTAGGATATAATGGGAGTCAGAAGAAGGAAGAAAGGTCAGAAAAAGAGACATGTGAGAAATATTTAGGAAAGTACATTTGAGAGGAGAAAGGGAGAGAAGAGTCAAGTTCACACCCAGATGTCTGGCCAGGTGAAGGTGGGAGTGGACTCGATTCCAGGCAGGGACCAGGCTTGGGGGGTAAAGAGATAGCAGGGTGATGAGTCAAAATGAAGACAGGCCGTTTTACCAAAGTTCAGGAGGGCATCTGGGTGAGATTCCAGTTTTGGCAAACAACAGTGTATTTGGTAGATATTTTAAACAATAAGGAAAGGGCTCACCACAGGAAAACATGTAGATTACTAGGAACAGCCAAAACCTAGGGACCATCACATTTAATGGACAAGTAATAAGAATAATGAGCATTTACTAAATACCTATGTATTTTACATGGATTCTTTTTGTTTGTTTTTTGAGATAGGATCTTGCTATGTAGCCCAGGCTAGCCTCAAACTCATGATCCCCCTACCTTGCTTCCTGAGAGCCACCCCATTCCTACATGGATTCATTGTAATTCCAAACAAGGTACCATTATTATTTCCATTCTTACCAATGAAGGGACAGGCTCAGGAAGGCAGGGTCCCTGCTACCGCGTTTCAGTGGATTTGTTGCAAAGCCTGGCTCCAGAGCCAAGTGCTTAGCTGTTCTCTGCTGCCCAAGGAGGAAACAAAGAGGACAGGGAGCATGGAGTCAGCAGAGTGGCCCAGAGGACAGGGAAGTAGTGCTTCTAGGAAGGAGCTGTCCATGACCTCAGGAAGCTGAGCACTGCACTGGGATGAGGCGGAAGTGGTGGGCTTTAGAACTGCAGGTAGGTGCACCTCACTGCCGCATGTGGTTGGGGTGATGGGGGAGGCAGTATGGGGAACAGCCCTATGAGGAAGGAGAGGGAGAGTCAACAGTTGACTTGTTCTTCACTGCTTGCAGTTGGGGAAGAGCCAAGAAGATATGAGACAGCTCGAGGTAAGAGCAGTTTGCTACTGTCTCCCCCACACACATACACTCCCATCCATGTGCCCCTCCCACATCCCTGCCATCTTTACCTGGATTTAAGCAAATCTTGCTACATCTCCTGGGACTCTTGTTTCTCTGCCTTCAAAGATTTGTCCTTAACTCCCTTCTTGCACTAGCTCTCCAGGCAATCTCATTTGTTTATGTGCTGAAAAATCCCAAATCAATATTTCAGTCTAGAATCTTTTCTTCTCTCGGTACTGGGATTAGAACTGAGGGTCTCACACTTGCCAGGCAGGTGCTGTACCATTTTAGCCACACCTCCAGCCCTTTGTATTTAATTATTTTTCAAGTAGGGTCTCACACTTTTGCTCAGGCCAATTTCAGACCCTGATCCTCTTTATTTCCACCTCTTGTGTAGCTGGGATTACAGTGTGCACCACTATACTTAGCTCATTTGTTGAGATGGGGGTCTTGGTAACTTTTTGACTGGTCTGACCTTAAATTGTGATTCTCCTAGACTCTACCTCCTGATTACAGATGTAAGCCACCATGCCAGGCTCCAGCTTGTTCTTTAAGATAGGGTCTCACTAACTTTTTTGTCCAGGCTGCCCTCAAACCACAATCCTCCTATTTCTGCCTCTCAAGTAATTGGAATTCCTGGCATGAGCCACTGTGCCTGGACTTCAGCCTAGAATTGTGACTACCCTGTAACTCTACCCAATTGATTTTCAGTGTCTCCTTTTATATGTTTTACACTTGCCTTATATTCAGCATGTCCCGAACTGGACTCATTTGTGGTCAATTACAAATACTCTCCTCCCACTGTCTGCCAGTGCACACACATTCTTCTGTAGGTTTTAGGTTTGGTGCCACATCTGCAAAAGTGTTCCATAATGCTTCAAGACTCCTGTAGCCATGTTGCAGAACTTACTGCATTACACTTTTCTTTTTCCTTTGGTTGGGACTGGGGTTTGAACTCAGGGCTTTGTGTTTGCAAAACAGGTACTCTACTGCTTGAGCCACAACTCCAGTCCATTTTGCTTAGGTTATTTTGGAGATGGGGGTCTCATGAACTATTTTCCCAGACTGACCTCAAACTGCAATCCTCCTGATCTCAGCAGCTAAGATTGTAGGAGTGAGCCTCTGGCATCCAGCTATACTACATTCTTGTTGCCACTGACATAAACTGCAGGAGGACAGGGTTTATGACTTAATTGCAATTACAGCTGTTCTCTCTTTTTTTTTCTTTATTTTGATACAGTGTCTTGCTACAAAGTCCAGGCCTTAATTCATGATCCTCCTGCCTTTGCCTACCAGATGCTGGGATTACAGGTGTACACCACCACCACACCTGGCCAATTATAGCTCTGGTGAAAATGAGGCTGGATCATATGGATTCAAAAACACATGTGAAGGCTTGAAATGGGTGAAAGAGCACATTACTCCCTGGGCCTGGACAGAAGGAGGTGAGAACAGACACTGATGTATACAATTCATAGATACACTGGAAGTGGAGGGGGTAAGGCCCCAGTTCTCATTACAGTTTCCTAAGAACAAGCCCTTAGGTTTGGGGCTTGAGCTGAGTAGTGGCACACAGCTGGACTACTGAAGGGCCAGGTAAGGGAGATGACCAAGAGCTAGCCTGGGTGAGGGCTGAAGTATAGTGTGAGTCTCTTGCAAATTAATTTCTAACCTATTTCTGAAATCAGTCCAGATTTTGTATCTTTCCCATTCGTTGTAGGCATGGATCATACAAACCATTTTTACCTGTAAACTATTAAGTTACTGCATTTGCTTATACTAAAAATAGTGGACTCTAAAAACAGACTACTGGGCTGGGAACTAAAAGACACATTGCCTGTGTGCCCATTTACTCAGTCTTACGGTTCCCAAGTGTTGCCATTTGAAAAAATGAAAAATTGAGATAAAACTCTTGGGCTTAATCTTTTTAGGGTAAAAATGCCCATATTTATTTTTATTAAAAAATGGAAATATGCTTACTTGAAAGTTGTGTTGTGAACACAACCAAGTTGTGAACTTAAAAATTCACTCCTCAGTTTGGCTGATTCTGATGGTAAAATAATGGTAACTTTTTTCAACAGAAGAATTTTCTAGGCACTGTTGCTCTTCCCAGATGTTTGAAAGTGATCTGAGTTAAGTGCACAGTGCTTTCCGTGACCTTGACTGAAGCACATGCACATACATGTGTCCACACATGCATGCTCTAACATACAAACTGGACACCGCTTTTACAAGTTGAGGTCACAACTTTATAAAATGTGAATTTGGGTCTGGCCACGGCACTGACAGTAAAGTACTCAGACTGAGCTCGCTGGAAGAAAGGAGCAGCAGAGAAGCATTTGAACATCCTTTCTTTGGAGGGTGACCAGTTACTGGTCCCAGTGCTCCTGTAGTCACTCACGCTCTCGGCAGTGCGCATTCTCCTACTGTATCCTTTCCCACTGGGAGCAAGCGCTGCTACGTAAATGAAAATACACTATCTTTCTAACATTCTTTCTCCCATTACTTCTCAAAAGTATCCCGAACAATGGCTGCAGTTTACATGTGAATATATAGCTGTCTTTCCAAGGAAAGAAAGCATGTTATTAAAATAGCCCAAGTATTACTCCAACAGAAGATATGACTACCTCTAAATTCCCTGTGCTAGACATGTCCGTGAGTTCTTGTACTGTTTTATTAATAAATATATCTGATGCCTCCTATGCTTCTGCTGATTTCTCAGATAAGGACTGAAGCAAGTCCTTATAGATGGCCGAGTTCATGAAGCGGGGGTAGGAGTCTCTGTGCATTAGGGTGTAAATCTGAAGCTGTGCATCGTCGAATATGTGTTGGGATGGCTGCCCCATGTTCCTGTTGATGCCTTCTCTCACTCGAGAGTCCAAGCTGACCTGTCCAGAGAAACAAGTAAGAGATCACTGCATTCTATACTTCTTCATGTAAAGCCAGCCTGATCTCCCAGAGCATGTTTTACCTTTTAAAGTCCCGAACCAAGCAAGGTCATCCATGAATCCAAACCTTTCAGAGACACCAAAAGCATGACCAGCAGGGGTCCAACTTCTAGCCACCGTCAACTCTTTGAGGGGTTATGGGACAGACTGCTGGGTCCCACCCAGGAGTCTGTGACTCAGTAGGTTTGGGTAGGGGCCAGACCTTGTACTTCTAACAAGTTTTAAGTACTGCCAGAAGGGTTTGCCTCACTTTAGAAAACCACAACATCATTTTGCTTCTTTAAAATGAGTGTAGGATGTCCTTTGATGGAATACAGGAATTTACCCTTGCTAATTTCCTCGTAATGTGGAGACTAAGCCCAGGATGCTGCAGGCTTCTGCCCAGTTACACCACAGACACAGGTTTCTGTGCCAAGTCACAGGGCCTGAGAGCCAGCGATGCCTGGCTTTCAATCCCAGCTCTGTTCCTGCTGAGTTGTGGGACCTTGGACAAGGTAACACTGTTGTATCTATGTTAAGTTAAACATGAATTCCTCCTAATGAGCTCATCATATAATATGAAATGATGATGGTAGTTTACAGGTTTTTAGTGAGGATTTAATGAAAATTTGTAAAAGTGCTTGGAATCCATCAAACCCGTGGGAGATGTCAGCTGTTATTTTTCTGGTGTTTGCTCACCGCAGACAAGACTCTCGTAGACCAGGGAAAGCTGCTGGGCTCAAACTTTTCTACAAGGACACCAAACAAGAGTCCTAGTCAAGGTTGTTGAACAAACTCACTTCTCTTCTGCTTCTGAGTAAAGACCCTTAGCTTAACCATCTTGGCAGCTGCTAGCCATGACTGTGCTAGTGCTACATGTTGCCTATCCTATCAACATAAAACTGAAAACACTTAGCAAAACCATTTCCATGTTGCTTCAGTGCCATCTCAAACCCAATACAGTCACAACAGACTCTCAGTGTCTTCCCGTCCCTTTGCCTGGCTCGTGACAGAGCCGTCCATCCCCATCTGATTCAGCATCCTGACTATCCTTCATTTTTCCCCTGGCTCCATCAGTCACAAAGCCCTGCTGATCCTACCTTGTCACTGCATCTGTCTACTTCTGCACTCTCTGTCATGGCCTTGTGGAGGTGGCTTATCATTTGCTGCTGGATGTGTATAGTGGCCTCCCAACTGGTCTCCTAGCACCACTCCACTGCCGGCCCGTGGTTTGGCCGAGGGCTCTTTCTAAAGTGCAAACTTTGTCCTGCCACTCTGCCTCCTTCCTTGCCCTGACTCGTCAGTGCTCTCAGGATCAAGTTCAAAGTTTAGCAGTTCCAAGGTTAAACTTCTGAGGCTCCTGGTGATCTGCTTCTACTAATCCCAGCATCATGTAGAATTCAAAATCTGTTCCGAACCACTGGGGATTTAAAGAAGGAAGATGAATCTAGAACTATATTTTGTCTTTGTTCCCTCTATCTGGGACAACCTTTTCCCCTGCCCTGACTGATGCAGTCTACCTTTCCTTCAGGTCTTGGTTTAAATGTCACTTCCACCCACATGGAGGTAAAGGTGCTTCCTTTCTTGACCCCCTTTCCTCTGAGAGTATGGTTGGCAGCACTGCCCACTAGACAAACTTTGACATAGGCCAGAGGACCATCTACTGGGGAGAGAGTGCTGCTATAGACAACCTCATATTTTTACTGCAGAAAACATTGAAAAATATTCTAGGTCACGAAAAGATAAGGCATAAATAGAATGTCATTTTTCACAATCTCCCCATGAAGACTAACCCTGCGAATGTTCTGTGGGGATTCCCAGTCAGAGACCATTCGTACCCTGTTCATGAGTGAAAGAGGACTGTGAAAAGCTCCTCCTTTTCAGTCCTGCAAATTGACCTCAAATCAAACCCCTCCTCTCCAGTTTCTCTTCAGTGGGCTTAGTTAAGCCTTTGCCATGTCAGGCACGGACAACTGAATTCTTCCTCTAACCATCCCCCTCTTGCCTTCTAATCCATCCTGGAGCCAGGCTGCTCTTTCAAAATTCGGAATTTGATAATATTGCCAGGTTAAAATCCTCAGAATAAACAATCAGAAAACCTCAGCATGGCACATAACCCCTTGAAGCTCTCAGACCAGCCCTTTTCTAAGTCTTCTCTGCTGCCTGCTTCCAGCTCTGTTTGCTAAACACTCTGCACTTTAGGTAGACAAAGCTGCTTCCACTTTCACTGTGCCAACAATCTCATGCTTTCTCCTTGGCTCAGCTAATCATGTCCCCTGGACAGTTTCTGGTAATGGCCTGTTCGTTGTCCTTTGTCCATCTTCACCCTCATTCCCACTGTCCTGTGGTGGCTCACTTCACTAGGGATGCTCGGCTGCCTGCCCACTTCTCTGTGAGCTGCTTCATTAGATTGCATTCTTGTCCACATATAGTGGGAGGTAACAGGTGATTTTACAAATGGAGCCAAAGGGCACCAAATTTTGGGACTAACCCAAACCTTCAAGATTCTAGTTTTGAAGAAACTTAAATTCTCACAGGTAGAAACTTTCACAATCTTACTCTTCTGGCAGTTTTTCTGCTATAAGAAAAGACCCCGTGGGGCAGAATCGGTGCTATGCTTTGGAGTGGCCCTAACTATGCGAGGAGAACATGACCAAATGTGGAGGGGGTGACTGTACCAATGGCTCCTGGGAAAGACCTTTGGTTTACACACACCTCTTTAGGAGAAAGAATAGAAATGTAGTCTTCATATATGATCTTCGCTTTCTCTTCAATGATACTCTTATTAGCTTCCTTTTTCAGTTCTTCACAGGCCATCCAGAAAAGCATATTTTCTTCACTGAATTCTGTCCGAAGGAATTCCCGGAAGGCGTTTCTTCCTGCTGGAGTGAGCATTAGGGTGTCAAAGGACTGGGCCCAGGCGCTGACTTCTTCCAGAGTTGGAGTTGAGCTTAGGGGAGGTCAAAAGAAAGCGAACACACGAAGAAGTTACTGGTTGGTAATGTCAATTTCTTCCCTAGAAACGTGGCTTTTCCTCTCTGACAATAAAAAATGCATACGTTTTGAGGAAGGGAAAGAGCTACTCTCATTTCCTTAAGTCTTTGGAAAACCATGAGCACAATACTTTGAAATGGCTTGGCTACATTGCCCAGCTACTGCCAAATGCTTGCAACCCAAGTTGGTAGGAGAACTGCTACGGCATACTTTACATCTGGGCACATCTAGCAAGAAGCAAAGAAAAATCCTACCAGCACCTGACCCTGAACTCCCTAGTCATCTATGACAGAACTAAGTTAGACTTAACACTAAACAATACTGACAGTGTTCACTTAATAGTTCTTAAAATTGTGCAACATTTGAGAAAGGGGACAGAATATATGAAATGTATCATGGAGAGTGACAACACAATGAACATATGTTCCCCATGTACTCTAAGAACAGGAACGTCATTGACAAAGGCACACTTGTTACCTCGGCGTGCCCAGACCTAGGAGAACTGGATTTTGGACTTACCAGCTTTTGAGTTTTTGCTTCTACTTTAACTATACTAAGCTGGGTGTGGTAGCTAATACCTATAATTTCACCTACTTGGGTGGCAAAGACCAGAAGAATCATGACTCAAGGCTGCCTGGTCAAAAAGTTAATGAGATTCCATCTCAACAGACAAGCAGAGTATGGTGAGTCACACCTACGATCCCAGGTGTGTAGGAGGCATAGGCAGGAGGATCTCAGTCCAAGGCCAGCCCACCCCCCAGGGATGGGGGGATGAGACCCTACCTAAAACAAAATTAAAGCAAAAAAAGGCTAATGGAGTGGTTCAAGTAGCAGAGCAACTGCCTAGCAAGTTTGAGACCCTGAGTTCAGACCCCAGTACCACAAGATAAAAACAAACGAAAACCCCAAATCTATATTAAGATCAGAAACAGTCTACTTAATAGTGATCCTTACTGCCCCTTTTCCCTTACTTTTCCCCAGTTTTCATGTATGTATGTGATCCTGAAGAATGTACTCTTTAATTTTTCTCTTGCTTATAAAAATGGTTTCCGATACATTGTCTTCTGTAATGCACTTTCCCACCCAACATGAAGTTTCAGGGATTTGCCCACATCATCCTGTGAGGCGGATTCCCCTCTCACTGTCTCTTCAGCCTCCTCAGGTTTTTGGCATCGGGTACATCAGCATCTTAGAACCTGGGGGGCTATGTAAGAATCATATAAACTTACAGTAATCTATTCCTGGAATGCTTTGTTTTTGAATACAATGTTTACTCTGTAGCAAGATATTACAGGTTGAATTGTGCCCAAAAGGCAGCTTTAGTCCTGACCCCTCAGATTGTGACCTTATTTGAAAATGGGGTCTGTACAGATTTAACCAAATTAAGATGAGGTCTTTAGTGTGAGACCTAATCAGAGCTACTAGTATCCTTAATAAAAGGGAAATTTCAGGCCAAGCATGGTGGCTCATACCTGTAATCCCAGCTAGTTGGGGGTCTGATATCAGGAGGATCACACTTCAAGATCACCTGGGCAAACAGTTCATGAGACCCCATCTGCACAAATAAAAGCTGGGCATGGTGGTGCATTGTTTGTCATCTCAGCTATGTGGGAAGCATAAATAGGAGAATCACAGTCCATAATGCGAGACCCTATTCAAAAAACACCTAAAGCAAAATGCTGAGGGTGTGGCTCAAGTAATGGCACCAGCCTAGCAAGTGCAAAGCCCTGACTTCAAATGCCAGTACCACCAAAAACACACAAAAGGGGAATTTCTCAGGGACATGCCCAGTGAGAAGAAGCTATGGAGACACCTAGGGCAGTTGGTTGGCCAGGTGACTGGAGTGATGTGTGTACCAGCCAAAGGCCACCCAGGATTCCTAGCAACTACCAGATGCTAGAAGAGCCGGGGAAGGTGTCTCCCCTATAGCTGTCAGGATAGAGAAAGCCTGGCCCTATTGACACCTTGATTTTGGACTTCCAGCCTCACAACTGTGAGATGACTGATTTCTGTGGTTTTAAGCTACCCAGGCTTGGAACTTGGTTGTGGCTGTCCTGGCAAACTAATAAAGAAGATTACTAACGCTGATTAGTAGTTATGGAACTATTCAGATCCTTTTTTCTCCGTGAGTGTTGTTAGTAACTTCCTCCCATTTAGGACTGTGTGCAGAGTGTCTGAATTATCAGTGTTCTCTGGTGTAACTTGTTCCTACTGTCATCATAATAGATATTATTATATATTTCCATTTTATTTCTAATTTTTTTTATTGCATCTTCCCTTCATTTTGGGGGCCAATCACAGTAGAGAATATATATTATAAAAGTCTTTTCAAAGCATCAGATTTTGCTTTGATCTTCTCCACTATATCTGTTATTTCATTAGTGTCTGTGCTTATATATTAATATCATTTTTCTTCTACTTTTTCATGCATATTAAGTTGGACACAGCTCACTAATGATTAGTGGGCTTATCATAAATATTAGGAGCTTCTTCAAAATATTTAGGATATTTTCCTCTACTTGTTGTATTCCCTGCATCCTATAGGTTGATGGGTAATACTCTCATCTAAATCAGTTTTATTTTAAAAAAAACTTTATTATGATTTTGTTCTTTGAGGAGTTACTAGAAAGGATCTTTAAAATATCAACTACATGATATTTCTAATTTTTAGTTTATGTTTTTAAAATTTCAACTTCTATTTTAATTATTTTGTGGCCAGAAAGTACAGTCTAATAATGATCCCAGAAATTTACTAACTTAACTAACATAACCTAGAAAGCCATGTGTGGTGGCACACACATGCAATCCCAGAATAGGGAGGCTGAGGGAGGAAGACTGCAAGTTCAAGCCAGCCTGGACAACTTAGCAAGACCCTGTTTCAAAATAAAAAATTTAATAAAGGGCTCCTGAGCCAGGCACTTGTGGCTCATGTTACTTGGGAGCTGAGGTTGGGAAATCTAAATTCCAGGTCAACTCAGACAAAGAATTTGCAAAAGCCTGTCACAACCCATAGCTGAGTGTGGCGGCATGTGCCTGTCATCCTAGCTAAGGCAGGAAGCATAAAGTAAGGGTTTCATGACCCAAGCCAGTCTGAGCAAAAGTGAGGCCCTATCTCAAAGATAGCTAGAGCATAAAGGGCTGGAGGCGAGGTTCAAATGGCAGAGCACCTACCTTGCAAGCTCAAAGTCGTGAGTTCAAATGCCAGTTGTACCAAAAAAAAAAAAATGGACTGGAGATGTAGGTTGGTGATAGAAAACTTGCCCAGCATGTGGAAAGCTCTGGGTTCAATTCCTAGTACTGCTTTAAAAAAAAAAGTTTATGAGGAGGTAATGCTTGGTCAATTATTATAATTTTTTTTGGTAGTACTGGGGTTTGAACTCTGGGCCTCTTACTAGGCAAGCACTCTACCACTTGAGTCACTCCTCCAGCCCAATTATTATAAATATGTTATGTATACTTGAAAAGAATATTTTCAAATACTTGGGTAAAGGTATGTAGTTTGTTACACCATATAGTCAGAAAATTATATATTTCAAATTTTTGTAATTTGTCTAAAATTTTATCTCTTAGAAATATCCATAATTGAGAGAAGAATGTGGGAATCCCCCACTACGCGAGATTTATAAATTTACTGCTCTAATTAGTTTTGTTTTTTACGTTTTGTGATTATTTTACTGGGTACATATGCGCTGTTATGGCTTTAGGGAGCTAACCCCTTTCATACTTTAGTTGTTGCTCTCTCATCTCTAAAGTGCTTTAATAATTTTAGAGTACGTCTTGCTTGATATTAATATTGGGATGCAGTACAGAAAGTGGGTGGAGGTGGACTCGAGGGTCCATCTTAATTCAGATGTTAGCACCACCATTTCTGCAAGGCCACCACTGGCTTGATCCTGGACTGTTGTGCAAATCAGGAAGACGTTTTCCCAGGAGGGACACAGCTTGCCAAGGGAGGCACAGGCTGCATTTGATCTCACAGTTGCCCCTTGCCAGGGGGTCATGGAAAGACAATGATGTGCACAGATGCGGGCATCAGTCCTTCGTTTGAGACCCTGGACCAATTACTTAATCTCCCTGAGATACTAAGAATACCTACCTCACAAGTGTTTTTGTAAAGCACTTAGTTCTTGGCACATATTAAGTACTATGTGTTCATTAAAATTATCTTAGACGCTGTTGGGTAAAGATTATTTTTACCCCTTTCATTTTCCATGATTTGACATTATTTGGGCTTGTTTCTGCCACCTTTCTCCCTAATGTTATTCAACCATTTAATTGTGTGGCTTTGTGAAAAACTTGTCAGTTACACTATTATTATTTTTCACCAGCAATATTTGTTTAGATTGTCTTAAATTTGTATTAATTCCCTTGCCAATCATTTCTTGTTGCAGTTTGGGGCTCCCATTTGGATTTGCTTCCTTCCTTCCTGGATATATTCTCCCCAGAGGTTCTTTGTACATGTGTCAGTGGCAAAATCTGTGCTTATGTGAAAACAACTTTATTTCTCTTTACTCCTGATAGTTTTTCTGGATACAAAATTTGAGGTAGACATTATTTTTGTACAGCACTGTGATGATTCTGTCTCTGGTGCTCAGAATTGCTGCTGTAAAGTCTGTTGAGTCTAATTTTCTATCCCTGTAGGAAACCTGCCTTTTCTTTCTATTTGTTTTTCATATTCTGCAGCTTAACTACAGTTATATTGAGACGCAGACTCCATTGATCTTATGTGATCTGTACACTGTGGGATTTACACACACACACACACACACACTAGGGATTTACGTCTTCCATCAGCCCTAGAAAATCTTTTTTTTTATTCATTTACTCACACGTGCATACATTGTTTGGGTCATTTCTCCACCCTGCCCCACCCCCCACTCTCTCCCCCCTTTACCCCCCTCAAATTCCAGGCAGGTCCTGTTCTGCCCTTATCTCTAATTTTGTTGAAGAAAGCCA